ACCACTTATGCACACACCATGTGTGTTGTCTGTAAAAAGGGAGAGCAAATGCCTAGATATTAAAGATGATAATGATAATAATGTGTGTAATAAAAATAAATGACTATTGTTATTAATGTTAATGTATGCAACCCTACACATTCCTGTAGTAAAGTGGGATTGCTGTAAGAAGAGAGAACAAATGCCTGGATATTAATGATAATTATAATAATGTGTCCGATAAAAATAAATAATAATCATTATTGATAATATTAATGTATGCAACCCTACACATTCCTGTAGTAAAGTGGGATTGCTGAAAGTGTGTGCATGCACACACAGTTCAAAATTACAACTTCTGCACATGCCATGTGTGTTGTCTGTTAAGAAGGGAGAGCAGAGTGAATGGCATCTTTAGACATCACATCCTGGCAGAGGCATCAGGCACCTTACACCACAGCAGCCTATTAAGGGCAAACCTGAGGGGTATTATTAGGCAAATGTGGAAAGCAATGGAGGAAAGATAAAGCCTGCCTGGAGAAGTAAAACAAATGTCACAACTCCACTTATTCCCTGAGACCACCTCGCCACCCGGGAGTCCTAGGGGATCCTCTCGCCATCCTCCCACCGGTTGCTTCCCAAGAGCGGCGGGTTATGATAATGATATTATTATTATGTTCCCACGGAGACCTCACATTATTATTATTGGGTTGTTGCAGGATTTTTCGGGCTATATGGCCATGTTCTAGAGGCATTCCCTCCTGACGTTTCGCCTGCATCTATGGCAAGCATCCTCACTAGCTCTGAGGATGCTTGCCATAGATGCAGGCGAAACGTCAGGAGAGAATGCCTCTAAAACATGACCTACAACAACCCAGTTATTCCGGACATGAAAGCCTTCGACAATACATTATTATTATTATTATTATTATTATTATTATTATTATTATTATTATTATTAGCAAACCTCTGAGGATGCCTGCCATAGATGCAGGCGAAACGTCAGGAGAGAATGCTACTGGCATATGGCCATACAGCCCAGAAAATTCACAGCAACACATTATTATTAGTTACCACAGGGTTTGAAAGTCTGCACCTACAGTGCCATATATTACAGTTTGAACACATAATGCACTTTGAAACGCATTATATAGTCATTGTAGACCAGGCATGGACAAACTTCGACCATTCCTCCAAGTACACAACAACGCAATGATTCCTTCCAGCCATGAAAGCTTTCGAAAATATATGATTATGCTACTTTGAAGGGGGGGAAAATGAGTTGGAAGTAGGAGGAACATTCTTCCTCCTCCTCCTCCTCCTCTCGCTGCTGCCTGGCCGGCGCGCGCCGCGGCTCTCGGGGCGCGCGAGCCTCTCTCGCCCTTCCTAACCCTAAACACATCGTCGTTGTCGTCGGCGCGCGCTCGCTCGCTCGCGGGGATCCTTCGCCGGGCCTTGATTGGAGAGAAGGGCCTGGAGATGCAAATGACCTTCGCTCTGCCCCCTCCCCCGGGCAGCCTCTCTCTCTCTCTTTTCCCTCGCGCTCGCCCTCTTCCTCTCTCTCTCTCTGTCTGTCTTCCTCAAAGGAGCAGGAAGGGTGTCAAACTGCCCTCAGGCGGCGGCGTCTCTTTGCAAGGAGTTGCAGCTACTAAAAGTTGTTGCTGCTGCTTCTCCTTCTCCCTCCTGCTAGGTTCAGAAACCCACCATTCCTAACAGGCAAAGTTGGTCCTTCCAGATGTTTTGGACTTCAACTCCCACCATTCCTCACAGCCTCAGGCCCCTTCCTTTCCCCCTCAGCCGCTTAAGCGGCTGAGGGGGGAAAGGAAAGGGCCTGAGGCTGTGAGGAATGGTGGGAGTTGCAGTCCAAAGCACCTGGAAGGACCAACTTTGCCCATGCCTGTCTTTCCTCTTAGTCTTTGGCTTTTAATCCCCATCTGAAGGGAGAAAGCGACAGAAAGGGAGAGTATTGTTTCCTCCCTCCCTCCTCCTCCTCTTCCTCTATTCTAAATCCGAAGTCGTCGAATTGGCTCCTTCTGAATGCCGTCTATTGAGAGAGAGAGAGAGAGAGAGAGAGAGAGAGAGCGAGAGAGAGAGAGAGAGAGAGAGAGAGAGGAGGCCAGGCCCAGCGAGGATCTCCCTGTATAGCAATGGCCGCCTTGTGCTGAATGGGCAGTCTAATTATAAATGTGGCATTTGGGCCTCCTTTCCCGAGCCAGTGCCACCTTACCTTATGAGGGAACTTCCAGCTCCAGCAACTGTTCAAAACAAAATGCCATTAGAGGATCAGCTTCGCCCAACACTGGGGCTCGGCGGGGGATTGTTTTACAAACAGCCTTTCTCACTTCACACAAGAATGTATTATAAGGAGGAGAAGAAGAAGGAGAAGGCAAAGGCAGGCAAGGCAGGCGCGGCCAGGTGTCCGTCTCCTTCAAGCTCGCAAACCTAATCCGAGTAACCTAATTATTTTCTGTCACATATTCTGGACCTCCCCTAAAAATACATTGGGAGGGAAAGGAGGGGGAGGGGGAGGGGGAGGGAGGGAGGGGTGGGGAAAGGGGAGCCGCTTTTATTTTTAAATAAGATTAATTGCTTCGGAGAGGAGATGGCGTTGTGCAAACACACACACACACAGAGAAAGCCACAAACAAACCCTTTCCATCATCTAAGATGCTTTGTGAAAAGTTTCACACAACACAGAGGCGCTTTGCATCACTCAGGGAAAGAAAGAAACTAGTTTTGCCTTAGTGACGGGATTGGAAGCAATTGTTATTATCGTCATTATTATTAACCTCTAAAGATGCCTGCCATAGATGCAGGCGAAACGTCAGGAGAGAATGCTACTGGTACATTGCCATAAAGCCCGGAAAACTCACAGCAGCATGTTATTATTATTATTATGATTATGATTAGCAAACTTCTGAGGATAGATGCAGGCGAAACATCAGGAGGGAATGCTACTGCAACATGGCTATACAGCCCAGAAATTTCACAGCAACGCATTATTATTATTATTAGCAAACCTCTGAGGATGCCTGCCACAGATGAAGGCGAAACATCAGGAGAGAATGCTACTGGAACATGGCCATAAAGCCCGGAAAACTCACAGCAACACATTATTATTATTATTACTATTATTATTATTATTATTATTATTAGCAAACCCCAGAGGATGCCTGCCATAGATGCAGGCGAAACATCAGGAGAGAATGCTACTGGAACGTTGCCATAAAGCCCGAGAAACTCACATCAACACATTGTTTATTATTATTATTATTATTATTATTATTATTATTATTATTATTATTATTTGTTACCTCACGGCTTGAAAGTCTGCACCATATATTGCAGTTTGAACACATAATGCACTTTGAACCGCATGGCATGGTCAGTGTAGACGAGGCATGGGCAAACTTGGGCCATTCCTCCAGGTGTTTTGGACTTCAACTCCCACAATTCCTAACAGCCTCAGGCCCCTTCCTTTTCGCTTAAGCGGCTGAGGGTGAAAAGGAAAGGGCCTGAAGCTGTTAGGAATGGTGGGAGTTGAAGTCCAAAACACCTAGAAGGCCGAAGTTTTCCCCCTGCCTGGTGTGGACCCATACAATGCAGGCTGAAGTTTCAGCTTGCATTATATTTGCTTACATACTGACCATACAATGCGATTCAAAGTGCATCATATGGCAGTACTGATCTAGCCACAGTTCAAATACATCAGCTAGATCCATAGTGCCATAGAATGTCCTTTCAGAATGCAGCCTTGACCTGGATTATATGGCTGTGTAGATCCATATAATCCAGTTAGAACCATCCAGTCCAACCCCCTGCCAGGGAGGGAAGGCACAATTAAAACATCCCCGTCAGATGGCCATCCAGCGTCTATTTAAAACTTCCTGACTGTGAGAGCTGTTCAGCAGTGGAACTCTCTGCCCCGGAGTGTGGTTTTAAACAGAGGCTGGATGGCCATCTGTCGGGGGTGCTTTGAATGTGATTTTCCAGCTTCTTGGCAGGGGGTTGGACTGGATGGCCCACAGATTTAAGAAGTGGGCATTTACTCGAGATTGTCCTCCCGGGCTGCTTTCCCCGAAAGACACATCTCTCTCCTCGCGACAACTTTCCTCCGCAGGCGAAAGCCCTCGCTGCTTGTAAACAAGCTGCCCGTGGTTTTCAGTCACGTCACCACGGAAATCCCAAGATCCTTTCACTTTTCTCCGTCCCTCCACTTCTGTCCCCCACCCTCCCACCCCTCCACCATCCGACTGACACTGAAATTAGGCTTCCACTTGCCCAGGCGGTATTTAAAGCAGGAAAACCCGCCACGCCAAGCCCTTATCTGTCCCACGGCAGGCCAAAGGGACGCGGCTTTATCGCGGGACAGTTTGCCTGTCTGCGTTTTGGGGGAAACGCCCCGAAGAAGAAGAGGAGGAGGAGGAGGCTAATCTCCTGCCCTCAGGCCGCCTCCAGGGCCCGGCGAAGTCTCTTCGTGGAGCCCAGACACAACAACCCTCCTCGGCGAGGGCCTCGGCCTGACCCTCCAGGACCCACGGCTCGCCTCCGAGGCAACCCACGCGGGGAGGCGAGGAAGAGGGGAGGGGAAGAGTAGCGAGCAGCACTAAGCCCCTTCGGCATAGAGATCCACGCGTGTCTTCCCTCCCTCCCGCAAACACGCCGCTCTCCCGCATCTAAGACACCCACGCGCGCTTGGCCCCTTCTTTCCTGGTCAAGACTTCCAAAGGAATCTTTTCAGGACTAAACACAACACAAACAAAACACCACGAAAACAAAACACAGTCCGGGAGAGAAGTGCGTAAAACTTAGATCTTTAAAAGTGTCATCCCCTACTGACCCCAACCCACCATATATACACGCGCACACGCGAGACGGGAAGACCCCTCTTCAAAATCCCAAAACAAGGAGCCGAGAGCCGAATTCATTCCCTTCTGAAAGCCCCTCGAGGCGGCTACGAAAGCAGAGACGCGACCATAAGCAAAGGCACCCAAAGCACAAAACCCTTCCCGAGAACTTACTTGGCGTTCCTAACTCGGGGCGCTAGTCTTTCCTTCCCGCCGTTTTGTCCCAGCTTCGGTGGGGTTGCCTGACTTTAGGGACCGGCCCGCGGCTACGGGCTCGCGTTGTTGGCCGGCTTGCTTTATTTTTATTTTAATTTACGGCTCGTGCCTTCTCTGAAGGTCGCTTGGCATGACCTCCGGCGGCGAGAGCGGAGACCCACCGCTGCCCTTCGCATGGTGTGAGCGGAGCCCCGGGTGCTCTCGGGCTCCTCGCTCCTCGCCTCGCCTGCCTTGTCTTCCTCCCTTCCCTTCCCTTGCCTTGCCTTGCCTTCCCTTCCCTCCCCACCCCACCCCACGCCGGCCCCCCTCCGCCTCCCTCCCCGCGGGACACGAATTAGGGTGTGCTATCAATTTGAAAGTTTTCGGTATAACTTTATCCCGAGCCTCCTCCGCCTTCGCCTTTGCGCGAGAGATAAGGCGGCCCCGCGGCGGGAAACCCTCGCCACACTGCCCCTCCGCGGCCAGAGCCGGCACTGCAGCCTCTCACACACTCTCTCTCTCACACACACACAGCCCTTTCCCTTTTATTTTGAAAGGCGGCAAACTTGGCGAGAAGTTTGACCCACCTCCGAAGTTGAGGGAGACATTAGGAGGGGGGAAAGAAGAAGAAGGACCCTCAACTCTTTCTACTGGGGGGGAGGAGGGAGAGCACGCGCCTCCCTCCCCACTTTAAATTGGCAGGAGTTTGCAGCCTCCCCAAGACGAGTTTGGAGGGATTTCTCTCTATCTCTGACTCTCTTTTTTTTTCTCACGTACAGTAGTAGTAGTACCGCTCCAGCCTGCCATGTGTTCGCAGGCAGAGCTTAAAATACGCCGCCGAAGTGTCACTAGGCTTTAAAATTAGACGCCGCTGGGAAGATTTTGGAAAGGAGGAGTTGGGCCGGAGGAAGGGAGGAGAGAGACTGAGGAAGAGAGAAGAGGGGAAGAGAAGAGAGGTTGAGAAGAGAGAAGAGAGAGAAGTTGAGAAGGAGAGAAGGAAAAGAGAGATTGAGAAAGAGAGACTGAGAGAGAAGAGGGGAACGGAGAAGAGAGAGGTTGAGAAAGAAAGAAGAGGGGGAAGAGAAGAGAGAGACTGGCAAAGAAAGGAGAGATTGAGAAGGAGAGAAGACGGGAAAGGATAAAAGAGAGAGGTTGAGAAAGAGAGAAGAGGGGGAAGGAAGAGAAGAGAGTTGAGAAAATGAGAAGAGAGAGAAGTTGAAAAGGAGAGAAGAGGGGAAAGGAAGAGAGAGATGAGAGAGATTGAGAAAGAGAGAAGGGGGAAAGAAGAGAGAGAGACTGAGAAAGAAAGAAGAGAGAGATTGCGAAGGAGAGAAGAGGGGGAAGAAGAAGAGAGAAAGGTTCAGAAAGAGAGAAGAGGGAAAGGAAGAGAAGAGAGAGATTGAGAAAGAGAGGAGAGGGGAAAAGAAGAAAAGAGAGAGAGATTGAGAAAGAAAGAAGAGGGGGGAAGAAAGAGAGAGACTGGCAAAGAAAGGAGAGATTGAGAAGGAGAGAAGACGGGAAAGGATAAAAGAGAGAGGTTGAGAAAGAGAGAAGAGGGGGAAGGAAGAGAAGAGGTTGAGAAGGAAAGAAAAGGGGAAAGAACAGAGAGATTAAGAAAAAGAGAAGAGGGGAAAGGAAGAGAAGAGAGTGAGACTGGGAAAGAGAGAAGAGAGAAAAGGAAGAGAAGAGAATGGGAAAGGAGAGAGGTTAAGAAAGGAAGAGGGGGAAGGAAGAGAAGAGATTGAGAAAGAGAAGAGAGGGAGAGAAAAGAGAGAGGTTGAGAAAGAAAAGAGAGGGAAGGAATAGAAGAGACAAGTTGAGAAAGAGAGAAGAGTTGAAAGGATGAGAAGAGAGACTGAGAAAGGGAGAAGAGGGAAAAGGAAGAGAAGAGGGAGGATGGGGAAACAGCAACAATGTTGTGATTTCAGAGGCGCGCGGGAATCTTTCTGCAGCCCCTGTATCCGCTCTCTTTTGGTGGGAGGGGGAGGGGGAGGAGGAGGGAGAACTCACCCTTGTTTCTCCGCGCCAGGACTTTCTCCGCCAGTCCGGCTGGTCCCGTCCCATCCCATCCCAGTCTCCGTGGCCTCCGCCGCCAAGGCCTCCCTCCCCTCCTCCCCTCCCCAAGATATGAGCCTGGGAGGCAGGAGTAGCAGCGGCGACCCCGGTCCATTCAGGGCGGCCCCGGCCTCCCCATCCTCTCCTCAGGTCAACTTCGCGAGTCCACCTCCGGAAGCGGCGGCGGCGGCTTTGGGTCAATGGCAACTCGCGAGCCCTTCAAGGCAGCGCGCGGAGAGGGCGCGATGTGTGCGAGCGGGTACCGTATTCTCTGGTATAAAGCGACACGCCGGAAACGCGGCGAGCCCCTCTTGTGGCTGGAGGCAGGCGGCCGGGGGACCCGCAGCAAGGAGGCCCCCTCGCCCGCCTCGCCAAGCCAAGCGCCCCTAGGCTGCCTTTCCCAGGGGCCGCCTTGGAGGTCCAAGAGGAAGGATGGGGAGAGGTGGGATTGTTTTGTTTTGGGAACCTTGGGGAGCCCTTCTTTCGAAACCAGTCAAGCAAAACACACGGGTATTGCAAAGATGCGGCAAAATAGGACAAGGAAGAGACTGACCGAGGGACAGAAAGAGGGCAGGTGGGCAATGCAATCCTAAACCAAGGCAAGAAATAAAGGCGCTGCAGGACAGGCAGACGGGTACTTGAAGGCAAGAGGGTCCGGAGAAGTTTTGTGGCCATTGAGTTGCAAGGCCATCCATTTAGTTTGAGTGGTTGTTGACTCTTAAGATGCCCTATCCCACTTTCTTTCCTCTTTCCCCCTAACCTCTCCTCCCCCTGGATTGACCTGTCAATCTCAGCCATGGCGGGATCAGCATTCAAAGCATTTCCAGTCGGAGTAACTTCCAGAAGTGGCAGGGCCATTCATGCGGGCAAGGACAGAGCTTGGTCCTTCACACACACACACACACACTACACACATTTACACACCCGGCGGGGAAGGCACGACGAGGCAACAACCCAAGCGCACAGCTGGCAGGAAAAGAGAGAGAGAGAGAGAGAGAGAGAAAGTGAGCGCGAAAGAGAAAGTGAAATCGCAGCGCCGTCCCCTCTTTCCTCCCCCGCCCACTCCTGAGCGCGTGCGCGCGCCTTTCCGCCCCCCCCCCCCAGCGCTCGCCACCCGGGCAGCCCGAGTAGCCCACCAGCTTTTTTTCCCTACGTCCTCAGTAGCTTCTCCCTGGAAAGAAAGCAAAGCCTGTGGGAGTTAAACCTGAGTGGGGTGAAGGGACACATTCATTCCACTGAAAGGAATGCCCCACGAAAGTCCCATCAGACTCCTGGCCAAGTAAATGTGCTCTACTGAAACACATTGAGATAGACAGATAGATAGATGCAGGTTATATCTACACACTTCAGGTAGAGAGATCCTGCATACATACATATCCATTACCTATAACTTCTCTCTCTCTATCTCGCATCCGTGCGCGCAGGACGGTGCAGCCCTCACTAGGAATGTTTGCTTCCAAACTTCAGAGGAACTGCCTTTAGGATTGCAGCCTCCACCCCGGGTTTGCGCGTGTTTCCTCGGAAATAACTCGAGTCCTGTTTCACCAAGTGGGTGTCCTCGAACTCCCCTCTAAACTAGGGAGTTGGAGGCAACTTCGTACTGTCTGAAACGTCCATTGTCAGCTGGATGCCGACGCTCGTCTGTCTTCTCGCTGAGATGACGGGCAGGAAGAGAGGCGAGTCTCCTGTTTGAAGAAGGCTTTCATGGCCGGAATCACTGGGTTGCTGTGCCATGTTCCAGAAGCATTCTCTCCTGACGTTTCGCCTGCATCTGTGGCAGGCATCCTCAGAGGTTGGGAGGTCTCCTGTTTGCTTACAAAGAAGGGGGAACCGGAAGGTCCCGACTATGCAGTCTGAAAGGGGGGGGGGAGGTGTCGAGCAAGACCCCCGTTGGCTTCTTGGACCATTCACGGGCCCCACTTGGGAGTCAGGTCCCGCGGGGCTCCGGGACGACTTTCTGGGGTCAGTCCATTGGGCCTCGCCTCAACCCACGAGGCGAGGCCCAATGGAAACCTGACCAAGGGAAGTGGGGATGGAGAGGCAGTCAGGCTTCCCAGGAAAAGGAGAAGCTAACTTTTCGATGTACGTTTGAGTTTTGGGGGCGAGATACGAGCTAAAAACAATGTGGAAGTGAGAGGGCAGAGGTGTGAGGAGTGCGGCCTAGGGCCACGAGGCCTTTCATGGAGGCGCCGGTATCCTTGAAAGGAAAGGAAACCCACCGGATCCCTCGCCTCCTGATGACCAAACTGCCCAAGCCGCCAGAAAAAGGCGTGCAGGACTGGAAGGTCTCTCCCTCGCAGCCCGGGGAGACACTGAGCGGGAGAAAAGGTCAGCGCGGCCTCCTTGCGAGGGGCCTTGGAGCCGCTCCTTGGCCCCATCCATCCACACTGACTATTTCATACGGTTCAAAAGTAGCTCCAGACTGCAGCGGGCGGACAACAAACTTCCGCAGAAGCTCCGGAAAGAAAGCCCTGCTCTGTGGTTTGTGTCTTCACTATCCGGACCACAAACTGGTCACAGGATTTGTAATCATCAACACTTTGTTGTAGGTTTTTGGGGCTATATGGCCATGTTCTAGAAGCATTCTCTCCTGACGTTTCGCCTGCATCAATGGCAAGCATCCTCAGGTTGGGAGGACCTCACAACCTCTGAGAATGCTTGCCACAGATGCAGGCGAAACGTCAGGAGATAATGCTTCTAGAACATGGTCATATAGTCCGAAAAACCTACAGCAACCCAGTGATTCCAGCCACGAAAGCCTTCGACAATACATCAACACTTTCTTCAATACCGGTTTGAAACTGCATTAGATGGTCGGTGTAGATGAGTCGGTGTAGAAATCACGCACAGATTTACGCGTGAGATCCCCCTGCAGACATTCCTCAGAGGCTGGATCTACACAGCCCTATAATCCAGTTCAAAGGAGATAATCTGGATTTTATATGGTAGAGTAGATGGGGCCTTAGTGGGCCACTGTCGCGTGCATTTCGACTTACGACTAACCTATCACGCAGCTTGCCTTGGGTTCCCCCCGAGGCTGAGAGAGTGTGACTTGCGGGAACTCCGCACCCTTGTCTCCAGAGTCTCTGAGCCTCCGCGGACGGGCTCCACGCGTGACCCGGCAGGAAGGAGCGCAAAGCAGGGCCACCGCTGCTCGGCTTTCGCGGGATGGAGCCGCGGCTGTCTGGACTGGCGAGCCCAAAGGCGGGTTAAGACAAGGGGGAGGACTGGGGTCGGCGGGGGACAGTTGAAGGCCAAACCTCAACGCTGGCCACAGTTTCAAAGCGGACCCCGCTGCAGGGATGGGATGCTCCTGAGGTTCCCACGCGTGGGAGCCATCCCCTCTCCACAAAACTTCCTCAGAAACGTTCAATGAAAACCGAGGCGAAGGGAAGGGAGATTTGGAGACGGAACTATCCCTTCTCTCAGGGATCTAAAGTCATCCCCACGCTCCCGTGCGTGGGGGAGCGTGGGGATGACTTTAGATCCCTGAGAGAAGGAGTTTCAATGGCCGAAAGAGAGGGGGGAATTTGTGTTTGTGGGGAGGTGGCAGGAAATAATTAAAAAGTTTTTCCATCGTGATTCAAGAAGCAAAAAAGAACTTGGAAAGAGGAGGGTAGGACAAGGTGACCACACTAACGTGGAAAACCTAGCGCTTCTCTCTCTCTCTCTCTCTCTTTCCCATACGGAATCGCGTGGGGAGCTTCTAGACCCACGAAAGACCCGCCAAGAGAACTGACCCAGCACTTTCCCAAACGAGCCTGACAGGAGCGCTGGGCTCCCCAAGAGGAAACCCCCCCTCTCACCGGGAGGGGGACATTTGGGGGTTCATATTTCTACCTTAATCGAAAAGGGAAACCTTTCCTCGGCGTCGCAGCGCCATCCTGACACTCTTAAGAAATCCTGGTCCATTTCGGTGCCACCTTCGGAAGACAAAAAGGAAGTCGCTTTAAACATCAGGAGGCGTTAAAAGTAACCATCCTGTTCTGGTTTAAATTTTAATTCCGACGTGGTTCTCTAGGTAAGAAAGGCCACAGCTCGGAAAACAAGTGGGGACCTCGTGCAGAAGAGACCTTCCCTTTGATCTACTTGGGCTGGAGAAGACTTAGAAATGTCACCAGCTGCGTGTCTGGAACAAATCCTAATTATGACTACAATTTTTAAATTCATTTTAGGCTGTTTTCTGGGCAGTTTTGGGCTGGAGCTACACTGCCAAATGATGCAGTTTGAACTACACGATATGGGTCTACTATGGGTTCAAACTGTGTTATTTTGGCAGTGGAGACCCAGCCAAAGTTTGCCACCCGACACGGGCTTCACTTCTTCTCATCTCGTCTAACTTCCTAGACAACAGCATCGCGCTCCGATTAAATTTCAGCGAAATCGCTGAAGAGGATTGTGTAAAGAGTATATTTTTGAAATTTCCAAGACATCTTCCACCCAAAAATAACAATGAATGTGGATTTATGCGAAGGAGGGGCCGCCTTCCCTCTCCCACGGAAGTCAAGCGAGAGAACTAAGTGAAGACCTGGCCTAGGCTGCATCTGCACTGCCCTATATATACCAGGATCTGATCCCGGATTATCTGTTTATCCCAGATTATCTGGCAGTGGAGACTCATATAATCCAGTTCAAAGCAGATAATCTTCGGATCAAAGCAGTGTAGAGCCAGCCCTAGTTAATGAAGAGACCTGTGTGGTTCGTGAACTTGCCTAGCCTGAGGCCGAGTGATTTCCTCGCCTCTCTTTCGCTTAAAAACTATCCCCACGCAGGAAGTGATCTATAGGAAAAGTTCCCAACACAAAAGCAAACTCGAGTGAAACTGGGCGCCCACCTGAGGCCCCGCCATCCATCCAGCCCCGTCTTTCTGGATGGACCGGAGGAGCCTCAGGTGAGAGCGGCAGGTTGCACGCGTTAACACGCGCGTCCCGGGCGTGAAGGAAGGGCCCGAACGAGGAGCATCTTTGCAGCCTCGGAAGATGGAGGAGGAGGCAGGAGGGAGCCTCAAAATTGGGGCGAAGATGAGAGAAAGGGGATGAGGAGGAAACAGGGAGGGAGGAGTGAGAGCATCCCTGTTGCCTGGGACAACGAAGATGCTCCCACCCCGCCGGAAAGAAGTCCCGTCGGAATCCCGTCGGAATGCGACTTTCTTTTGTGTTTGCGCCTTGGATTTCAAGCAGAGCGAGAGGCGCTGAAGCGATTGCCCACTTCCTGAGGGGGAAAACTCTTTGGCCCCAGGAAGCAACCTTTGGAATGGGCCCAATGGGATCGAGTTCCGAAAATCAAAATGCTTCGGATCGAGTTCCTCTGGGAACTTGAAACGGCCCGCTAACTCTCGTGGGAAGCTGTGATTGGATCGCGAGTGGACTTCCACAGCTGAACCGGGGATCGGGAGCCTGGTCTCCCTGATATATAGGCACACTGTCTCCGTTATTTCACCCCAATTAATGCCACAGAGAGAGGGACCCAAAGGATGCTTCTCACTCTGGGCGGCCGCGGCGTGACTTTGAATCCCCCGGGCGTGAACGCGTGGAGTGGCGGCGAAGTGCGGGCTTCCAACGGGATGGCTGGGTCTCCCGTGTGGGCATTCGGTTCTGGGACACACAAACCCCTTCCCCACTTCTCATTTGGGACACCTCCCCCCCCCCCTACGGAAGGCGGGAAGCGGCGCGTGGCGAGCGAGCGCGGGACTCCCTTCCTGCAGGGAAGCCCGTCGGAGCGACACACTCCCCCCCCCCCCCCGCTGCATTACACACACACGCCAACCGCTCCCCCGCCGCTCGGGAGATCAAAGCCGCGCGTGGCTGCTTCCCCTGGCGCTTCCACTAAGTCAACTCTACTACTACTACATCTCCCTCTCCTTTCGACGCGGTCTTGCGTGTCGAATAACTCGGGGGACAGAAAGACAAACAAGAAGGGAAGAAACACTCGTGGGGCTCTCTCCCTGAACCCCACGACCCTGGGATTCCCACGTTCGGAATGGACGGGAGGAATGAGGGTGCAGAGCACTCTTTCCTGGGACAACCCTCCTCTCCTTCCACTGGAATGTTTGAACTAAGACGAAAGTGTCAGTGAAACACCCTCTGGATTCCCCTCCTGTTACCCACGCGCGTCGCCAGGTATTCGCACGTGAAGATCTTCCTCTTACAGGTTAAAGGGGTGGGGGGGCTTGAGGGATAATGTCAATGATTGCGCCGACTAACAAGGAGAGCGACGGGGGGGGGGGGGACACTTGGGGGACAATAGCAAGGAGAGCGATAGGAGAGCCCCTTTGAGGATGGCTTGCAAGAGCGAGAAGAAAGTTGGACGCCAAACTCACAGAAAGAAAGTTTCTGTCAGGCAAAAGCGGCCACATGGCTCCCCAACACCAACACCACCACCTTCCCCTACTGTATTCCCAAAAGTACGTTAAGGAATTTTTTTTACACGAGTGTTGGGGAGGGAGAACCTAATACTGTCCCACCCACTCTCTCGCCCCATTCTCCCGAGGCTTCTTCTTCCTTCCCAGGAAAGAGCCCTTGGAGAGTGCCCCCCCCGACACTCGTGGACGCGCCCTTCCCACCCAGACACTCGCCGAGCAAACACCTGCCCCCCCCCCCCAAAAAGGGAGAGAGAGGCGCCTGCTCTCCCACAAAGAAAAGTTGCACAAGAAGGTCTCCCTTCCCGCCCTCCAAGTTGAGATTCAAAAGGCAAAACATACCCCAAAATTACAAGAGAAGATTGAGATGGAGAAAGAGAGAGAGACTGAGAGGGATGGAGAGAGTGAGAGAGACCAAAATAGTGGGGATAGAAGGCTGAGAAAGAGAAGGAGGGAAAGTTTGAAAGAGATGGAGGGAGGAAGAAAAAGTGAAGGTGGGAGAGAGACTGCAAGAAAGAGAATGGAAATGTGGGCTTTATCTTTCCATCTATCCATCCATCTATCCATCTTTCCATCTATCTGCCTGCCTGCCTGCCTGCTGAGGCTGCTCCTCTTGCTGCTGAGCGAAGGTACTTACAGTGCGAGAGGGCAGTCTGCCTGCAGAAGGCTCCCATTCACCGAGGCTGCAAAGAGGGAGAGAGAGAGAGAGAAAGGGAGAGAGAGAAAGGGAGGGAGGAAGAGAAGGAGAGAGAGGGAGGAAAGGAAAGGAAGGGAAAGGGGGAGGGCCAATCTGGATGCACCTTCACCGCTGCTCATCACATCTGCCACAGCCTCTCTCCTCTCTCTGTCTTTCATTTCCACATTCCCTTTGTTCCTGTTTTTTTTAATAAGGGGGGATCTATACGTCACACCAGAGTCCCCTGATAACAGTCTTCTGCACTTATTTTTCCCCTTTTCAAATTGAATAATGTCGTGAAACAGTAAGGAAATAGAGAAATGGGAGAGAAATCATTTAGGAATATAATAATAATAATAATAATAATAATAATAATAATAATAATAATAATAATAATAATAATAATAATAATAATGTTCCCAGGCTAATTTTGCACACTTTTCAAAAAGAGCATTAGGAAAAACCCATACTTAAAACAATGTCCTGTCAAGTTAGCCTTTGTTGTCCCCTCCCGGCGTTAAAGGAATGGATGGGTCCGCACTCGCGTGGCGTGGGGTGAAAAGCACGCGTGGGACGAAGGCGTTCTTCCAACCCAGAAGCAAAAAAGTTTTTAAAAGATCAACAAAAATGACACGCTTGGGAGGGGGGAGGGGGAAGTAAGGGAGATTTTGCTTGTCAGGAAGTGTGTTGCGTGGGTCGCCCTCAGCCAGGACTGCCTCGCGGACACGCGCGCTTTTTGCTGCTGCCTTCTCCGCTTTGCCTCGCTCGGCAAGGAAACCCCTCGCGCGGAAGAAAAAAAAAAATACAGACACAAGCTCTATGGGCCGAGGAGGAGGAGGCGCTAAGGGAGCCAGAGACCAGCAGCCCGGGAAGCGGCAGTAGTTGGTGGAAGGGGGAAAAAAGGAGAAAGAGGAGGAGGAGGCCTCTGCCATCTAACGGGATCCTGGATGCCCTGGAGAGGAGGAGAGGGAGGGGGAGGGGGAGGGAGGGGGAGGGAGAGAGAGAGAGAGAGAGACGGCCTGGCTCTATGGGCCTGACCTTTATTATTGCTACTACTATTATTATTGTTAGTTGTTACTGTTAGTTGTGCCTTTCTTTCTTAGGCTAGAAAAGGACTTAGGAAGGGGTCTAAGCAAGCAAGCCGCTCCAGGATGACGATGTTGATGTGCATTCAGACCTTAGGCAATGGTCTACCAGGCAAGCTGCTCCATTATTATTATTATTATTTTGATTAGTAGCAGTTGTTGTGAGATCTAGCTGGCAAACTGATCAAATATCTAGTGGAGCCCTCGGTGGCACAATGGGTTAAACCTTTGTGCTGGCTCACCAAATGGTCTGGAGTTCTAATGTGAGAGCGGGGTGAGCTCCCATCTGTCAGCTCCAGCTTCTCATGCGGGTAAAATATCCGGGAGTCCCCTGGGCAACGTTCAATTCTCTTACACTAGAAGCGACTTGACACGCACACAAAATAATTATTAGTGTCTTAAGATCCTAGGCAACAAACGAACTTGGGAATGGGTCTAGCATTCAGGCCTATTGTTGTTGTTGTGAGTGCCTCCAGATCCTAGGCCACTAGCAGACTTGGCAATAAGTCTAGTAGACAAGCTGCTATTATCGTTGTTGTTGTTGTTGTGAGTGCCTCCAGATCCTAGGCCACTAGCAGACCTGGGAATAAGTTTATTAGGCAGGCTGCTTATTATTCTTATTTCTTCATTCCCTACGCAACAAGCGGATTTGGAAATGGATCTTATTAGTAGGTAAGTCTCTCCATCATCATTATTATCTCTATTTACCTTAAAACAATAGTAATACGCTTTTAAGAAACGGACTTGAGGATGGGCCTAAAAGCTAATCTGCTCCATGAGTATGATTATGTTGTTATTGTTGTTGCTTTTAGATCAGGCATGGGCAAACTTGGGCCCTCTCCAGGTGTTTTGGATTTCAACTCTCACTATTCCTAACAGCCTCAGGCCCTTTCCTTTCCCCCCTCAGCCGCATAAGGGGGGAAGCCGCATAAGCGGCTGAAGGGGGAAAGGAAGGGGCCTGAGGTTGTTCGGAATGGTGGGAGTTGGAGTCCAAAGCACCTGGAGAGCCGAAGTTTGCCCATGCTTGCTTTAGACCTTTGGAAACGGGCCTGGGAGGCATGCGGTCTCAGGGCGGGGTCTGCTTTGGGCGCCCCAAGTGAGGAGCCAAAGAGAAAGGCCAGGGAAGGGAAAGGAAGGGGCCCAAGAGGAAGGGAGGGAAGGCAGCACGGGGAGGGGCCACCCAGGGTCTCTCGGAGGAACAAATCTTGGGAGACGTGGCTGGGCCGGCCAGCCAAGTGCAACCTAGCCGCTCTCCGCCTGCTGCGAGGGAAGGCGACACGGCGGAGACTGAGGCGCGCGCCGCTTGCCTTGCTCGGGCTTCGGTCCGCGTGCCTCAGCCGCCCCCTCGAGGCCAAGACCGGCACTGCAGGCCGGGAGCCTTAGGGAAGAGCGGGACCCTCCGTGGCATCAACGCCGCCAAGGAAAGGACAAGTGGGAGGGAGCCTATGACACGGATAATTCAAGAGGAAGAGAAAGAGGACTAATAACGGCACTTCGTGTTGTAAAGGGAGGCCCCGGTTAAACCCTTGTGCTGGCAGGACTGCTGACAGAAAGCTTGGCGGTTCGAATCTGGGGAGCGGGGTGAGCTCCCGTCTGTCAGCTCCAGCTTCCCATGCGGGGATATGAGAGAAGCCTCCCACAGGATGGTAAAACATCCAGGCGTCCCCTAGGTAACGTCCTTGCAGATGGTCAATTCTCTCACACCAGAAGTGACTTGCAGTTTCACAAGTTTCTTCTAACACACACAAAAATGTTGTAAAGAGTGCTTGTGTCTCCCCAAACGATAACTCCCATGATCCCATAGCCTTGAGCCAGAACAGTTTAAAGTGGTGTCAAACTGCCTTAATTCTGTAGTGTGAATGCACCCAGAGAAGCAGGAGAGGCAAAGGCAGGTAGGTCCTCATCCCTTGAAGGTGCCTGGTCTTTTGAATCCCAGTCCAGTAGGTGCAGGAGTAAGGTCCCTTCCACACAGTGCAATAACATCCCACATTATCTGCTTTAAACTGGAATATATGGCAGTGTAGACTCCTATAACCCAGTTCAAAGCAAATATTATGGGATTGTCTGCATAGATATTCTAGGGCTGTGTAGAAGGGCCCTTAGCCTCACATTGGTGTTCAGGAGTGCTAAGGGCCTCATCACACTAGAGGCCTTTAACAGCCTCACTAATTCTTCAGGAGGCAGAAACCAGATATTAAGTGGATTTTTTTCTCTAGTGTGATGAAGTAGTAAATCTCCGTCCAAGATAATCCCTACATTGTAGAATGAGTGCAGTGTGACATCACTTCAATTGCCATGGCTTCATGCTATGGAATCGTGGGAGTTGTAGTTTCATAAGGGATTGACAATTCTCTGCCAAAAAAAAGTGCTGGTTCCTCACCAAACTGCAAATCACAGGTCCCCATAGCATGGCAGTTCAAATGGTGTCGTGATGCGCCCTTACGTAAAGGAAACTCAGTAGCTTCTGTGGAGAATTCTGCAGGCCACTGAATATTCTAAACATTCAGTCCACATTCTGGAGTAAATCCAGCTTTGAGTGGAGCTTATTTTTAAGCAACTCGAAGAAACCTAGATAGAGAAGCTAGATAGGTCTGCTCAAGAAGTAGGACAAAGGTCCTTCATATCTGGGAGAGTGTATAGCAGTCATGGCATGGGCAAACTTGGGTGTTTTGGACTCCAACTCCCACAATTCCTAACAGCCTCAGGCTCCTTCCTTTTTCCCCTCAGCTGCTTAAGAATGTTAGAATGTTGAGCCAATCAGAAACCATATGCAAATTAGTAGGTCAAGATATCTCAAGCATGGGTGAACTTGAGCCCTCCCTCTAGGTGTTTTGGACTTCAGCTCCCATCATTCCTAACAGCCTCGGGCCCCTTCCTTCTCCCCCTCAGCCGCTTAAGCTGAAGAGTTGAAATCCAAAACACATGGAAGACCCACATTTGCCCAAGCCTGGTCTACCCCATCCGAATGACTGGACTGAGTCCTTCTCTTTAGAGCAACAGAATGCATAAATGTATAAGAAATAATGTTTTAGGATTATGTCTACAGATAGGGCATGGGAAAAAGTGTCTCTTCAGGTTTTGTGGGCACTCTCTTTATCTGTCCCCTGACAAAAAGCAGTGAGGAAATATGCAGGCGAACATTCCAGAACATGACAACTTCCTCTGGAAAAGTCTTTTGTTTTACAACACAGATAACTTGTTGTGTGAAGATTGGAAACTAATCAGCTTCTCCATCCCATCTATTTTGCTTTTATCATTTTTGTTCTATGAGAAAGAGAGAAAATACAAATGGATCCATTATTCAAAATGTAAATAAACACTGAAGGAAAAAATAACAATACAGAAAGTGAAAGGTGGGCCAGGGAATAAGTAAGGAAAGAAACATTTCAGCACTTGAAAACAACCAACCTTTCCATAGATATATAAAGCTCACTTGCCTAGTTTCCAACAGGTCTCACAACCTCTGAGGATGCTTGCCATAGATGTGGGTGAAACGTCAGGAGAGAATGCTTCTGGAACATAGCCATACAGCCCGGAAAACTCACAGCAACCCAGTGATTCCGGCCATGAAAGTCTTCAACAACATATAGAATCAACCCTCTTCCATTCTTAATAGTCACAATAATTTTTACTTAGATATTTCTGTATATTTCTCTGAAAGAAAATATTCTTTGAATGCTCTTCTAAAACCATTTGAGCCATCTGTATTAATTTTATATCATTTTTCACTCCCTTAACCCAATGCTTCACAAAAAAGACACAACCTACTAACCCCGTGGAACTGATTCTGTTTCAAAGATAGCAGGATTTCCTCCTTTTCTTTTACACAATTATAAACAAATCAAAATTTTAGGAAGGTCTGAATGGCAATGCTGACAGAAGAATTATTGGAGTTGTAGTCCTAAATGGTAACTTGTCTAAACTCTCTTCCAATATATCACTCTGTCAGAGGGATCTTTCCTTATAAATACTGATTACCACTCTTGTGCAAATTAATCACACTTTCTCCCAAAGTATCTATGAACACTCAACCACTCTTGGATACAATGCAACAAAGATTGCTATCTGTAACTTTGGAAAACCAATGGTCCACTTTCCATGGGTTTTATGTAGGTCTGGACTGCGGTTGTTTGCATTGTTGTTTTGCAAGAACAACTATTTTAGTAGGGTTTGGAGGGTGGAAGTCTTCCTGCAAATGTTTGATGGGGATTGTTATAACTGACAGTTTTTTGCATCCTTTCTCTGTGCCGATTCCAATTTATCTTAAATACATATGGAAGTTAAAAACTCTTAAACCTGAAAAGAAATACCGCAGTGTTCAATTTAGAAATATTGTTTAATGGGCCAGGCTTTGAAGGTCGATGTCATGCTCATCTATTCCTGGGAGAATTTAGGCTGTATTAATCAGGCAGTGCAGTCTAACTCTATTTAAATCAATAAAGGGGAAGCAAAGCTACACTTTCAATTTTAAGCCTGCTTTAACATGGCTTTAGTGCCACAATGCATCACCTTAAATGGGCCAGCAGTGATTTTCTTAGAAGTAATGCTTCCAAAAGTTTGGAAATGTTCAACGTCAGAGTTTGAAAAAAAAAGTTCCTTCCAGTTAGGGAATTCTGAGAGTTTTAGTTAAAAAGTATCTTTTTTCAAGCTCTCATTTTCTTGTATTGTTGAAGGCTTTCATGGCCGGAATCACTGGGTTGTTACAAATTTTCTGGGCTATATGGCCATGTTCCGGAAGCATTCTCTCCTGACGTTTCACCTGCATCCACAGGTATATAAATCCAATTTTCCTAGTTTTCAACAGACCTCACAACCTCTGAGGATGCCTGCCATAGATGCAGGTGAAACGTCAGAAGAGAATGCTTCTGGAACATGGTCATACAGCCCAGAAAACTAACAACAATCTCATTTTATTCTTTCCTCATTTTTATCAGTCATAGGCTGTAATTGTGGCAATTCTTTGCAAATACATATTTTGATAAAATTCTCAAGAATTTGAGTGCTTTTAAAAAAAGAAATTTGCAGAAAGAGGAGGGCAAACTACAGGGATAGGAGATTTATAGAGTCAGGCAGTTGGGATCATAATGCATAATCTTCAAGGTAAAAAATGAAATAGTTTATCAAATTAGCATCCTTTTACAGACAAAGTAGGTATTAAAATGATTGAGGCTCATTCCCTTTTACCTGGGGATCCATCCCACTGAAATCAGTGTGGTTTACTTCCAATGTTTAGATGGTCCTCCAAAACACTGGGCTAACATCTACCTTAATTTGTAAAATAAATCCATTTGAGCCCAAAGCAAAAAATTCATTTTCTTTAATTTAAACATAGTTTATTATATCATAGAATGAGGAGAATTTTTTTTACAGAACTGTGAAGCTTGTAAAATAAAATCAGATACATATTTTAAAATGTCCTTTATTCCTTGTTTTTCTGTGTGGGTTCAATAACAGTGCATGGATGCAAAGAAAACAGATTTCTTAAAGGAGAAAGAAACATTAAAATTGCCTAAAAGAGCTCATCCGAACATTCCAAAGAAAGAAACAACTTTATTACAACAGCATGCATAGACTATAATATTCAGATATAATTTTTCCAGTGCAGAATTACACAATGATTTGAAATAAGGCATCCTAGAAGTGTGTTGCTGTGACTTTTCTAGGTTGTGTGG